GGATTGAGTACAAGTTTGTTCACCCCCATCCAGATCCTAACAGCCTCCAGGCATCGGCACATCACGTCCACCCCTAAACTGAGCTGGCACGAGGCAGAAAGATACAGTTGAGTATCATCTGCGTATTGGTGGTAATTTATCCCGTGCTGTCACATGATCTCACCCAGTGGCTTCATGTTTTAAAGAAGCATTAGAACCTACAAATGATATTTTTTCACATGTAGCTACTTTTAATCTTTAGAAGTAGATACAGCAGATTATTACAGATAGCACCACTGTTTGAAGATATATTTCATTCAGGAAACACATAGATGCTCTGAAGTAAACAAAAATTGTAAAAATGCCATGATGTTATTTGCAATAAAGGACAACAAATAATCATATGAGTATTCTTATATAGCTTTTATAATCTATAATTAGCTGAGTGTTGGATAAGTGTTGGAAGTGATAGTAGGAATTAGAGTCCAAATGTATCAGAAGTACCACCTTTAAAATTATCCATACAGAATAGAAGCATTTTATGAATCCATGAAATTGGAAGAAGAGAAATTTAATCTAGCTGAAACATTTTCCTCTTGGAAATAGAATTGTCTTTGTTCATAATTTTGGCCAAGCTTTGACATTATTGTGATTTTGGTTTTTGTGTGTTATTGTATGATTGATCCTGACTAGTAAAAAAATGAAGTTGTTTCTTTGAGACAAAGTAATCTTGATAGTTCTTTTCATCCTGATGACTGCTTGGATATTCCCTCTTCTTATGTGAAGTATGAATACTGTGCTTTAAAACCAAGAATAGGGAAAGTTATCTCTGGTTACTATGGCACTATCTGAACTAATCATAGCCTTTGAATCAACAGGGCAATAATTTCCGTAGGGAATACATTGCAACTCAAGGACCTTTGCCTGGCACAAAGGATGATTTCTGGAAAATGGCATGGGAACAGAATGTTCATAATGTTGTCATGGTAACCCAGTGTGTTGAGAAGGGCCGGGTGAGTGGTTTTCTTACTTGTTAATTACTTCACAAAAAGATTATATCATCTAGCACTGATAAAATGCCAATGATAGCATCCACGACAGAACTTGTTGCATATCACAGTGTAGTAGAAGCTTTACAATTTATGTAAGAAAGACACACATAAGAAATCCAGTTAGCTGTTTGGTTTTGGATCATTATTTATAGCCTTTTCACAAGCTTTTAGACCATCATACAAAACTGATGAAGCCATGCTCCATGAGAAAAGAAGGGAAATAGGGCTCCTAGTATTTAGTGCACAGAATGCACAGAATCCTTGTATCCATAAAGTTCTACATATACATGATGGATTACATATATTGCATGAGTGAATTTTCTCACAGAAACATCCACCTATGGAATGGGACAAAGAAATGGTTTGCATTTTGCCTCCCCCCCCCCCGTTGTATTGGTGTTGGAGTGTTGGAAACTACAATAAAAACCAGGCAGCTGTGGACAGTTAATTGTGCTCACTTCTAGCCTTTACAAATAGAAGTGCCAAATCTGAATCTAAGCTATAATTGTGTAGAGTTATTACCTCCTCACAAAAATATTGACAACAAATGAAGCTTCATGAAGATTTTTTCATTTATTTAAGGTTTAAGGTTTAAGGTTTAA